CCTACAACCTCTTCAACACTTGTTGTTGCTAGTCCTGTTGATGATAGCCATTCTAACAGGTGAGATGGTATCTCACTGTGGTTTTGACTTGTTTTTCCCTAGTAGCTAGCAGTGTTGAGCATCTTTTCATGTATTTGTTGGCCATTTGTATGTCCTCTAGGGAGAAGTGTCTGTTCAGGTCCTCTGCCTATTTTGGGATTGCGTCATTTGTTTTTTTGTTGTTATTGAGTTGTATGAGTTCTTTGTATATTTTGGAAATTAGGTTCTTATCAGGAGCATTGTTTGCAAATATAGTCTCCCATTTGGATGGTTGCTTCTTTGCATTGTTGATGGTTTCTTTTGCTGATAGAAGCTTTTTAATTTGATATAGTCACATTCATTTATTTCTGCTTTCACTTTCCTTTTCTTTGAGGTCAAATTTATAAAAATTTTTATATAGATGCAATGACCATTCAGTGAGGGAAAAGACAGTTTTTCAACAAACAGTATTTGGATAAGCAGATATCAACAAGCAAAAGAAAAAAGTAGCATCTTAACTTAAACCATACACAAAAAGAGCTACAAATGGATCATAAATTTAAATGTAAGAGTGAAAATTATAAATTCTTAGAAGATAACAGAGGGAGAAGTATCATAACATTGGATTTGCCAATGATTTCTTGGCGATGGCACCAAAAGTACAGGCAACAGAAATAAAAAATAGATAAATTTGAATTCATAATACTTAAAAAATATTTTCTATCTAAGAGTACTATCAACAAAGTAAAGATCCATGGAATATGAGAAAATTTTTGCGAATCATATATCTGATGAAGAATTAATATCCAGAATATGTAAAGAACTGCAACTCAACAACAAGGAAACAAATTATCCAATTAACAAATGGGCAAAGGACTTGAGTAAACATTTCCCTATAAAAGATACACAAATGGACAATAAGCGCATGAAAAGATGTTCAATAACACTAATTGCTAGGGATTTGCAGATTGAGACTACAAGATACTAATCGACACCTCGTAGAATGGCTTTTATCAAAAAATTCAGAAAATTTCAAGTGTTGATGAGGAAGTGGAGAAATTGGAACCGCTGTGCATTACTGGTAGAATGTGAAATGATGCAGCCGATGTGGAAAATAATATGGTGGTTCTTCAAAAAATTAATCATAGAATTACCATATTATCCTTCAGTTTCACACATCTAGGTATATACCCAAATGTATTGAAAGCATGGAGTCAAACAGATATACCCCCATGTTCATAGCAACATTATTCACAATAGACAAAAAGTGGAAATTCAAATACTCATTGACTGATAAATGAACAAACAAAATGTGGTATATACATAAAATTTAGTATTAGTTAGCTTTAAAAAGGTATGAGATTCTGGCATATTCTACAACATAGATGGAACTTGAAGGCCTTATGTTAACTGATAGCCAGTCACATTGGGACAAATACTTAGTGATTGTGTGTGTTTGAAGTACTTAGAGTAGTGAAATTCATAGAAAGCAGAATGGTAGTTGTCAGGCGCTATGGGGCGTGGAAATGGCAAGTTAATGTTTAAGGGGCAGAAAGTTTCAGTTTGAGAGAATGAAAAGACTTTGGAATTTATTGGTGGTAATGGATTCATAACAATGTTAATGTGCTTAATGCCACTGACTGTACATTTAAAAATGTTTAAAATGATAAATTTTGCATGTTGTGCATTTTACCACAATAAGAAATTAAATAAGGAAAAATTCCACTATGATATCACAAAAAAGAATATACTATTTAGAAATCATGTTAATGAAATGATATACACTGGCTGTGAACATAGTCCCCACAATGAAAACACCTCAGGCCTGGGGATTCTTAAATGACCAAGATGCTAAAAAACGTTTCACATTATAAGGGAGATACCTGCCAATGTAGAAAAGTATCGGCAGAGTCTTGGAAATGTGAGCCCTCAGGAAAAGAAGTGGGGTATAATCATGGTACAAGAAACCAAATCTCATTGTTCAACACTTCTACATGGCTTATTTTTACTTCTCACCTCCTCTTTTTTCTTCCAAAGTCACAACCTTAACTGATATAGGTTAAAATATTTCTCATGCTTTTCATTGCTAGGATTATGATGGACTAGGTAGAATGATTCTCCCACTACTATGTGGCTAGAACCTGGATAACTTTTAAATAAAACATTCATACATTGCTGACATACAAAAAATAAAAGGTATTCTCATTTGCAAAATGGAAAAATGAAAACAACTGAAACTGGAATGCATCATTTAAATAAATGCAAAGGCTAGGATTGTCTTGGGAGGAAAATGTCAATACCAGCTACTGGAATTAGAAGACTAAGCCGTAGGCCTTCTGCAAAGTGGAGAGCGAGACACTTCCATTAAGCCAGGGTCTTTTAAGGGGACTATAGAGATCTCAAATCAATGGTCTCCCTGGGTCTATGGAGAAACAAATACGAATCCCCACTTGAGTCCTCTGATTTGCAAAGATTAAATACAATCAAATATAATAAGAAATTAACAGACATACCACAAATGAATGTCAGGAGAAAATAATAACAGCAAATTTAAATTCTTGAGAATTTAGATATCGAAATTATCAGATAAAGAGTATAAAACAATTATGGTTCAACTGTTTTAAGAAAGTAAAGATGGAATAAAGGCTGAAAAAGAATCAAAATATAAATCTAATAAAAGTACCAGGCATATTTGAAAAAAGAACCAATTTGAATATTTATAAATAAAATATAATTATTGAAATTAATAACTCAGTAGATGAATGAAACAGCAGAATATATGCAGGTGGAGAGAGACTTAAATCTGAAAGAAATATTCAGACTATAATACATAGAGACAAGGTGGTAAATATGAAAGAAAGGTAAAGCTACATGGAGGATATAATAAGTATAACACATCTAATTAGAGTTGAAGAGAAAAATCAAAAAGGCAGCATTTGAAGAATTAAAGGGTTAGAATTTCCCAAAACTGATGAAAGGTTATGAATCCACAGATGGAGGAAATAAGAGTTCAAGATAGAATCTATATATGTAAAAACCAAAGAAAATCAAAGATAAAGAGAAGATCTTAAAACTGCGCAGAGAAAAAAGGTAGATAATTTACAAAGGACAAGTAGCTATCAAGTTTCTCAATAGCAACAAGGGAAGCCAGAACACAGAGGAATGATATCTTCAAAGTTTGGAAGAGAAAATCTGTCAACCCAGATTTGTGGATTTAGCAAAACTCTTTTTCAAGGAAAAGGGCAAAAAAGACATTTGCAGATGAATATAGACTGAATTTACTACCAAGAAACCTTCCGTAAAAGAATTTTTAAAGAATGTACTTTAGAAAGAAGAAAAATAATTCTAAAATCAATTTCAGGATACTCACATGCAAAAGAGTGAAGTTAGACTCTTTACCTCATACCATATACAAAAATTAACTGAAAATGGAAAAGACATTGTGTGAGAGGCATAACCATAACACCCTTGGAAGAAAATGTAGGGGTATATCTTCATGATCTTGGATTTTGCAATGGTTTCTTAGATATGACACCAAGAGCACAAACAGTGAAGGAAAAAATATATTGGACTTCATGAAAATTAAAAATTTTGCACATCAAAGGACATTAAGAAAGTGAAAAGATAACATGGAATGGAAGATTTTTTTAAATCATAGAAATCATATGTCTACTATTCAGAATTTATACCAAACTTTTACAACTCAACAACAAAAAGACAAAAACCCAATTAACAAGTGGGAAAAGGACTTAAATAGACATTTTTTCCAAAGAAGATGTACAAATGGCAAAAAAGCACAAATCAAAATTGCAGCGAGATACAAATGCATGTCCAGTAGAATGGCTATATTTTTTCTTTATAGAAAATATCAAGTGTAGGGGAGGATGAGGAATGTTTTTACATTAATAGTGGGAATTTTAAATGGTGCAGATGCTGTGGAAAAAAGTTTGATGGTTCCTCATAAAGTTAAATATAGGAAAAAAGAGAAAATAATATACACTGAAAACAATGTATATTAATTATTGAAAGAAAGATTTGCATAAATGTAAAGACATCTCATGTTCATGTATTGGAAGTCTCAATATTGTTAATACAGAAATACTCCCCAAATTGATTACAAACTAGAGTTCTGTTCTCTGTTTCTCTGCATTCAAAACAATTCTTAATATATCCAAGTTGGGTTTTTTTCCCCTTTTTGCAGAAATTGACAAGCTGATCCTAAAGTCATGCAGAAATTCAAGGGATATAGAAGAGTAAAAACCATCTTGAAAACAGTTTTCAGGAAAACTGGAAACTGAAAACATACTTCTCAATTTCAAAACATATTACAAAACTAAAAAAAGCCAAAACAGTATAGTACTCTGCCCCAAATAAGGATAGACATATAGTTCAATGGAAGCAAAAAAGAGCAGAAATAAAGCCTTATTACTTACCAGTTGTTGATATTTGGCAAAGATGTTAAGACAATTCAATGGGAGAAAGAATGGCCTTTTCAACAATTGATGTTGAGACAAATAGATACCCACATGTAAAACAAAGATGTTGAATTGCTACATCACGCTATCAAAAAAATTAACTGAAAATGGAACATAGATCTAAATGGAAGAGCTAAACTTACAAAATACTTACAACACATTCAAGTACATTTTTGTGACCTTGGCATAGACTATGTTATAAAAGACACCAAAGCACAAGCAAACAAAACAACACATTGATTGAATTTCATCAAAATTAAGAACCTTTGTGCTACGAATGATACAACCAAGAAAGTGAAAGACAAACTACAGAACGGGAGAAAATATTTACAAATCTTATATCTGATATGGGACTTGTGTATCCAGAATATATAAGGAACACTTAACAAGTCTGTAATAAAAAGAAAAATAACAATTAAAAATGGGAAGGAATTTAAACACATTTCCATAGAAGAGATAAAAATGGCTCATAAGTTTATGAAAGTTACTCTGCATTTTAGGAAAATGTAAATCAAAACCAAATGAGATATTGCTTTATACTCATTGGTTGATTATAATAAAAAATACAGGCAACATGTGTTAGTGAGAATGTGGAGAAGTTAAGATCTTGGTGCTCTTTTTCCAGCACTGCTCAAACTCTCATATCTTGTTTCTACTATCATATCAGTAAGAATAATCTAGTTAGCTCCAGGTTATCCTTCTACCAACAACACCTGAGAAGCTCCCCCTAAACACATCTGGGGGCCCTAATCTACAGAGCAGTTTTCTCTCTAATGCTGCGCCCTGCAGATCCAGCCATTTCTGCTGCTGTGAACTCTGTCCTCTGTCTCCTTAACTCAGTGGCAATGCTGTACTTAGACTAGGACTCCAATCCTCTGTGCTGAGATCAACAAGTTGTCCATAGGTAGAACTGAATTTTCATAAAATCAATGCCATATTCTCCTTCCTTTAGATATTATTATAGTTTTGAATTTCCCGTTGACTTCCAGAAATCATTTCCCTCATGATTATTGTCATATGTCATATTTTTATTATAAGAGGGCCAGTTTGGCACCATTTAATGGAAAAATTTCATCATAGCCAAAGTGGAAGCCTTACCTTTCTTCCTTAGAGTAATAGGATCTCTCAATTAATCTAATAAGTAAGTACAATTTCTTTATTTTGGGTGAGGATGGACTAATGGATTGTTGACCTCCTCTGATGGAAGAGGCAGACAATGGAGAGCTTTGAAAGTGTTGAGTTCTACCACAATGTAAGACTGCTGCATATTTGCTTAATTTCAGTATTTTTTCATATATGCCAATTTATTTCCTATGATACATAAAAAATTCTGAATCTTTTTAATTTAGCTGAATCATTTCTTGCCACCGTGTAATTGGATTGGGTCTGTGCTTTAAAGTTGGACTTTAGTCTTTTTTGGTCTTTAATTTCATTTATATTTAATACCATCACAGTTATGCTAGTGGTAATTTTGACTGCTTAATTTAGTTTTTGTACTTTAGTTTTCTGGATTATTTCTTTTGTTAAATTGGACCAATTTTCCATAGATTTTTCTAAGTTTATGTAATGCCTTTATAACATCTAGAAGAATATCCATTTTTCTAATTAATATAATCAGAATTAGGACAATAACATCTTTTACAGATAAGATGGAAATTTAACCTAGTATGCTATTATTAATTGTTTTTTAAGATTAGACTTCAGTTATGTCAATCACTTTTCATTAAATCATTTTTAAACCAGTTCTTTTTTTGCTCTATTTTTTAAATGAAGAACTTAGTACTAGATAGTAAGAACAGTTTAATGTGTTCTAAGTAGCAGTTCACAGATGGTAATAGGATACAATAAAATATTTTAGAATATAGCACATAAGTAAAGGTTATACATATAATGATTAAAAAAATCAACTTATGTCAATGATATACATATATATTGAGTTGACAAAAATATAAAATATGCTTTGTGGCATAGTCACAGAATATTGGAAAACACTTTTAAGTTTATTTGTTTCATGACTGTATTATTTTAATCCAAAATTTTTATAGTTCAAATGACTAATATGCTTTGAATATCATCTTTAAAAAGTTAAAAGTTAGTTTCACATTTTCAGGAAAAATTGCACACATGCCTGTAAAACGACCTGGTACTCATCGAAAAAATGGCCTTTTGATCAGTTTCTGCATTTTTCTACCTTTCCTTATTTTAATTGCCATCATTGCTTTTAAATGGAATAAAATGAGGTTTTGGAAAAGAGAGGGAACAGTAAGTGGAGGGTAAGTAAATATATTACCTCTTATATATATATTAAAAATTAACCATGAGAAGAATTAAAATGTAATTCAGAATATTACAAGGAGGGATTATTAGATAGATCAATCATTTGGAAATACTGAATCTTAGTATATAACTTTTTTTTTTTTCAGGTTTCAGGTAGGTGGTATTTTCACGAACTTGTAGGCCCAGGAACAACTGAAAATACTCAATAAATCCTCAGTGCCTTTCAAATAGAAAGCCATGTTGGCTATAATTTCTCTAGGAGCTTTTGTCTATTTCTCAAGTAACCCCATGTTCCTTTCATTGACAGTCAGGTGTTCCAAGGAGATTAATAGAGATAGGGAAGCAAATTTTGTGAAGAGAATATGTAGAAGCTGAGAAAAATATATGATAGCAAAGAATAAGGGAGAGAACACAGATAGGATACTGCCCATTTTACACATCATTAACATCACTCATGTGTTTCTAAAATTAGAGTTTAGGTACTTGGACAGTTTTTTTCTTTAACTCTAACACTGACCAATACCAGGCACAATTTGCTTAGTGAATGTTTAGAAAAATGAGAATGCAGAAGTGAAGATAAGTAAATGGATCTCATTTATTTATTCCATGCTAAAGGAAAATGGTTCTCTGTTTCTTACTTATGGAGAGAGAAAACAATAATAGAAAATTTGCATCAACAGCTCTATTTCCCAAGTTAGTTAATTTTATTTATAAAAAAGTTAGGAGCAACTAGTTAAATTCAGGGTAGTATTCTGCATGATGTATATAGACATTTACATAATCATCCAATTATTATAAATTGACTTGAATGAATGATATCTGGCATGTCTTCTCGTGTTCTTAGTTAAGACCTCATATAAAAATCTGCATGTATGATAGAAATAAACCTGAATGTTGAAAGAGATGTTATAGACGGGAATAACATCATAAATGACTGGAAGTGACAGTCTAAGTTTTAGAACAACACTAATATCTTCAGAGTTGTGAGGGTAAGAAATGACACGGAACTGAAGCACCAAAGGGTGGTACTGACTATCCGGTCAGAAACTGGGTCATTCTCAAAGTCCTTATGATTGACATTATCTCTTCTTGTCTATGTCCAGTCTCTGGAAAATGATATTCTGCTTGCACATGGCCCAAAATATTTATCTCAACCCTTTCTGGATTCATTTCCAAACAAAATACCAATAATCTGTCCACAGCTGTCAGTGGTAAACTCATCCCGCAGACTACACCAAGTGTCAGCGCTGAGCTGATCGAGAAGGGAAGGTTCAATGGTGAGCTGCCCGGTTTGAAGAATGCACAAGAGGCAGACATGAGAATGAAATGGCAGGCACCAACTTTATTGTGCGGAGCTCAGTTCTGTTGGGGGAAGTGCAGTCTATTGTGAGGGACGCAGTATTGCGCATACTTCTTCTGCTCCCCTTTCTTGTGCTCCCTTTCTTGTGCTCCCCTTCTGCTCCCCAGGGGACTTCATGGCTCCACACATAGCAGAATACAATAGTGGCATTCGGCCACACATGGGTGATACAATAAGCTGAAGTATGTTTACATATTTCAGGCACAGGCACACTACTACACTAATGTAACATTCTAATCTAGGGTCCTATTTCTAGCCAGGAGCCTGGATCACAGCCAGACCTAGGACCAGCCAGACCTTGGACCAGCCATACCTTGGATTCAGCCAGGCCTGGTGCCCACAACAGCAATGCTTCTTAGTTTATATTGTCAAGAGTCAGAAGGACATAGCTGTGGAAGTATACCTAAATTCAGCCAGTGTTTTGTCTGGATTATAACCCTAAATTAGGTGTTAAAACCTGATCTTATCATCTGTGGCCAAGGAATTTTAGCCAATTACAAAGAATCTGCTCACCATGACAATCCTCTTCAATGGAAACTGTGATGTTTAGGAGTTTGCCAAAGGAAATTTTGGAGACTGTATAAATAGTACAAAATATAACTAAACATAGCTAAAAGACACAGAGGCCTCATTAAGGATCTCATTAACAAGTGAAAAGATATACTTAGTTTTTGATAGAAATATTATAATTGGACAGACAATAAGAATTTGGCAATTTGCCTGTAAATTACTTTTTTTTTAATGTTGGAGGAGCACTATCATAGATATATTAATATTCCTCTTGTCTTCCATGTAGACAAGATAGAGAAAAATAATAGATCAGATTTTAGTTTGAAATTTAAAACTTCTTAAAATCTTTAATAGTTAGATCAACATTAGAAAAACCAAATATTAAAATATAGATTTACTGAGTGGAATATGGGAAGCAAAGTGAATGTCAGTACATATTAATTGAATAATTAGTACTAATCTAGCTTTTTTACTTTTCTTGATTTTGTTTTGAATGATAATGTTTCCTAACTCTAAAACTAACGCTATTTCTTTTATGCAGATCTATATCAGAAGATGGCAGTAGTGACAGCAACACGTCATACACAGAGTTAAAGGTGAATTGAAGGAATCAATCTATTGACAAAATGATGTAATTTATGAAACAATTTTTTTATTTTTAACAATACCTCAGTAATAGAGACTGGTTATTTCCCTAATTCATCATCTTCACCTTTATTCATCAAGATAATTTTCATATACTAAAATAAGACATTAAAATTTTGTTTTATACTTTTTAGAAATATTTAATGTTAACCAATATTAGGATTTATTAACTGACTTTATGTAAAAAGTAGTAACTTTGAAGCGATTTAAGTATGTTCCTAAAATAGCTATGAGCTATCATACATCCTGCTTTGTTATTTAAGGTTGTAATTGGTGGGTTTATATTGTTTCTTGGCATTTATATTTCTTCGTCACTAAGATTCCATAGTTAATGCTATCGTTATCGTACCATAGGTAACAGACATAAGTGTTTAAACAATTCCCCATGTGTATAAAAGTTTTGGAGTTGGAATATAATTTTAGGCAATCAAGTTCCAGGGTTTAAACGCTGAATAACTCCATCATTTTAAGACTTACAGCCTGATATATGAATGGGGATGGGGAATGAAATTTACATTTATTGAAGACATATTAGATGCCGAGGAAAATGCTAAATGCACTCTCTTTCCTAAGCAGAAAGACAATTATTTACTCTAAGATGGGATGAAGTAGGCATATGTATATATTGTTCAATCTTATAACTCATATGTTTAAAGAAATCAAGATATTTGACATATCAGACCTATCACTAGGAGTAAATGAAAAAATTCAAAACCTTCAACCAAGAGTAAGGTCAGAGTTCTCCCAATTACTTTCCTGACATTAGCAGTCCCCCTCTATATTAGCGGTCCCCAACCTTTTTGGCACCAGAGACTGGTGCTCCTATGAGAATCTAATGCCTGATGATCTGAGGTGGAGCTGAGGTGGTGATGCTAGTGCTGGAGAGTGGCTGCAAATACAGATGAGACTTTGCTTGCTAGCCCCCCACTCACCTCCTGCTGTGCGTCCCAGTTCCTAACAGACCACCGACTGGTACTGGTCCGCTGCCCAAGGATTGGAGACCCCTGCTCTATATCTAACTTTGATTGAGATTTAAGTGGATTTCTGTTTCTTTATATGCCGTCAGAGAAAACATTTATAACTCCTACTGTCAATATAAATTAGTCTTCTTTCTGCCCAGATCAATCTCTGCTACTTCTTTAATTACTCTATTAAAACCCACATCTTGGGTGAAGATTGTGGCACTTGGCTCAGTCTTCTTCTCATGTCCTTCAGTAACAGTCTCATTATCACGCTGGGCATTTTCACATGAACTTTTCACTGCCACCCAACTTCAGTCACTTCCTCCTAAAGCAATATACTGGTCTTGTTATTTTCTTGATTTCTTCCAACTCTTAAGTCATAAATTCAATATGCTGCTTTTTAAAAATTTTTTTTATTTTTACCATTTTCTTTTTTTTTCAGTCTTCTCTTTCCACCAGTACTTTATGGTTACATTAAGATCTTGCCTCAAGAATTTGAAATAGTGGGTTAAGCAGTCAGTCCATAAGCAATACATATATATTTTATAAGTGGATTATATAGTGTATTGGAAGTGATTGATAATATGGAAAAGATTAGTGCAGTAGGGTAATTGGGAGAGTTGATGTTGAAGGACAAATTGATAGCAATTTTAAATATGGTTGACTCAATAGGACCTATTGAGCAAGTGATATGTAAGCAAAGAATTGGGGGAGGTGCAAATATTTACTCAGTTTAGATATTTAAAATACGTAACCTGGACACACAGGGTCAACTCACATAAGTCATTTATTTAAATGCACAGGATACACTACACAGCAAGAGAGAGTGCAAGAAAGCAATGTTGATCAGAGTAACATCTCAGATACAAGGTTCCAGGGTTTCTTATTTTAAGTTTTAAACAACGCATCATAAATCTCACTGCCCTTATCTTGGTAAAAAGTGAAACCAGACATCCAGCCTTTCCCATAGATAAAGATAGAGCTTTTCTATTCCAACTGTATGTAAATCAACACTGTTTTAACACAGGCATACAGCTGGCAGAGCTTTCCATGCATATATCTGGGCAGAAGCTTTTCAAACACAAGAAGGGTACAATGAAAAAAAGTTAGGAATGTTTGATAAATAACAGTAATGTCAGTTCATCTGAAGCACGGTTAGCAGGAGGTCACGTGACTTAAATTTTGACGGCTGTTTTGTTGAAAGTAGTCTGTAACAATGGCAGGAGCAGAAGTGTAGAAACCAGTTACTGCAGTGCTACTGCAACAATCCAGGAGAGAAAGGATAGTACCTCTGACCAGTGATATTAAAAATGGTTTTAGACATAAAAGTTGAAGCTGAACCAACAGAATGAATTGACAGTTTCTGTGTAAAGGGTATGAAAAACTGCTTAAATGGTCTTCATTGATATAAAGCAGGAATAGCAAGACTAAAATGTAAACCCAGACTGGTTTCTAAATTCATGCTCTTAATACATTTTAAAATTTATGAACATTGAGAGATAAACTCTACATAGGTAATCTGAGCCAAGAGAACTGTTTGTCATGACATGGTGTTTAAATTTTCTCATAAGAATAGGAACATAGCTAAAGTATTTTTAAGTAGTAAGGGAGGGATTTAGCAATCAATGGTTTGCTTTTTAAATTTCATAGTGATAAAATAGGGAAAAATTCAATCAGATTCAGCCAGAACTAGAGAGGAGTATAACAGCTATGAGAATATGGAATTCACAGGAAGGGTGTAATGCGGGTAGGATTGGATTAGAGGAAAAAATTTTTAAAATCTTGTGATATATAACAGAGGTAGATTTAATTGAAGTAGTGACTGATGGATGTGTTTGTGCTAGAATGAAAAATCACTACAGAAATGTTTATTTCTGACACAGTGGATAATGACACCTTTTACTAATGACATATTGTATAATAGGGTAAGAACAAGTTTGGTGTTGTATTGAGGACGTGGAGGGGAGTGAAGATTTAGTTTGGTTTTGAACATGTGTGTGTGGGACACCTGTTGGATATGCATAGAGATCTCTTGGAAGTATTCCTCTGTAGATAAAAATAGACCTATTAATAATAATCATTATTTATTTCTTCAGATTATTGTTCTTTTCCTCTCTGTTTCCTTATTGGTGATTTTCTTTCACCCACATAAAGCATAGAGACTGTGTAAATGAAATATATATAAATACAATTTATAATATTACCTTTTAATATGGCTATCACAAAGGGTTCTTGAAAAATAAATGATTTACAAATTTCGTGGAGTGCAGGCATAGATTGTGACAGTATAACCAGTGTCTTATTATACTAATTTATTGCTAAACCTGTAGTTGCATAGTATGATTAGACAGCTTTTATTAAAATTTAACATTTCTATTTTTCCATATTTCTTTTACAACAGTGACTAAACAATAATGTCAAAAAGCCATAGGTTGGAAAAAGGATATTACCAAGAAACTCACCATTAACTGGCCTATTTCAAGAGTGAAAAAAAATCTGCTTTCCTCTCCTTTTGTTATGGCTTAAAGCTTTCAGTTTCACAAACCAAAATAAATCCTGTGAGTGAAAATACGTAGGCTTGTGTCTGTTGACTTCTCTACCCGCTGTGATCCTTTAGTAGGAAATAAGCAGTTTTTGCCTCTTTTGAACCTTGGAGGTTGATAAATCTCAAGGCGAAAATGTTCCATTGCCTGTTGCTGTTGTTCATGCTCAGATGCCTATAGCTCCAATCTCAAGAGAGCATACCTATAGTTCGCATCTCTCCAATAGCTCATGACCTCTGTATCTATTCCAGGATTTAGATATTGAGAGGAAGAGTTGCTACATAAGGCCAGCCCCAAGCCCCCAGGTAGTCGCTAACATCCATTCTATATTCGCGGAATTGCTCAAACTGAGTTCCTGGTCATAGATAACTATTCTGTCTCCAGGTGACATTTCTATGGCCTCATTTGAATTGAGATCTAGAATACATCTTTGTCCTTTGGGGGAACCCAGACTTGCTGCTCTTTCTTTACCTGAAGCTGAGCTTTCCGAGGTAAGATTTTCTTGTTTCAGTGTCCCTTCTCCCTGTCTCCCACTCTGTGATCGGTACACTGTGATCGGTACACTTCTATATGCCTCAAAGCATTATACATGGATTACGGAACCATCAGCCTACCTGGAATCTAATTAGGACCTACTGATCCTCGTCGATAAACAAAGATGCTCCTGGGTGATGGGTGGGATTAGCTCACCACAGAGGCCAAGAGTTTCCTTTTCCAGATGTCCACCAACTATAGAGGTAAGTGATGGTTTTGCCAGAGTAGTTTCAGAAAACAGTCAGGGATCAAAGCCTGACTGCACTAAGCAATGAGAAATGGTTTTACATTTTGATTTCTGAAAACTTGTATCTATTATTAAATGAAGATTTCATACCTCCATATATCTATATAATTGATGGACCAAGTCTCTGTGGATTAAGATAATTCCATTGGTAACCCATGTACTCATGGTGATTTATTTCTTTCCCATACTTACAGAACAGCTTTCACTTCACTTCTAAAATTATAGGTTCTTCCTCAGGAATCCTTTTCAAAGGTATCTGCCATTCTTTTGTCTACTCTGTATAGATTTTTAGTATACTCTTTCACTTTCTCTTTATTTTGTCCTGCTCAAATAATGTGCTTCCTTATTGGTCATTCAGCATTCCTAGTCTAGCTTTGAATTTCCCTTTTATTTTATGAATCTTCTGGTAGAGAGTTCTCTTGGTTTTCCTGTTGTTTTCTAGTCTCACATTGGCTATAGTGATAGTTCTCTTTATCTCTATGTGATAGTCATTAAAAAACTGCATTCACGACTCTAATCCTGCTTTAGTCACCTTTAACTTGTGCCTCTCGACTGTTTTTAACAAATTTTTAATGTTTCTTCTGTCATCCATCTTTCCTTTTTACTTCTGGCCTTACCTTTTCACATTCTTACCTGATAATATTTATAATTTCAGTCTGCTGTTCTTTTGCTTC